GATCCTCTCACGGTGACGGGCGAGTCGACGCGCTGCACGTTGCTCTCCTCCACCAGGATCTCCCTGACACAATTAGCAGTAATTAGCGCTCGTTAGCGCTCGATAGCGCTCATTAGCACTCATTAATGCTCGTTAGCGCTCATTAGCACTCGTTAACACTCATTAGCACTCATTAGCACTCGTTAGCGCTCGTTAACATTCATTAGCACTCATTAGCGCTCGTTAACACTCATTAGCACTCATTAGTGCTCATTAATGCTCGTTAGCGCTCGATAGCGCTCATTAGCACTCATTAGCGCTTCTTAACACTTATTAGCACTCATTAGCATTCATTAATGCTCGTTAGCACTCATTAGCACTCGTTAGCGCTCGTTAGCGCTCATTAGTGCTCATTAACGCTCGTTAATGCTCGTTAACGCTCATTAGCACTCACTAACACTCATTAGCACTCATTAACGCTCGTTAGCGCTCGTTAGCGCTCGTTAATATTCATTAGCACTCATTAATGCTCATTAGCACTCATTAGCACTCATTAGCACTCATTAGCGCTCGTTAGCGCTCGTTAGCACTCGATAGCACTCGTTAACATTCATTAGCACTCATTAACACTCATTAACGCTCATTACCACTCATTAACACTCGTTAGCACTCATTAGCACTCATTAATGCTCATTAACCCTAATTAGCACTCATTAATGCTCATTAACGCTCATTAGCGCTCATTAGCGCTCGTTAGTGCTCATTATCACTCATTAATGCTCGTTAACGGTCATTAATGGTCATTAACACTCATTAGCGCTCATTAATGCTCATTAGCGCTCATTAGCACTCATTAGTGCTCATTAACACTCGTTAACACTCATTAGCGCTCATTAATGCTCATTAGCACTCGTTAGCGCTCATTAGCACTCATGAGCGCTCATTAGTGCTAATTAACACTCGTTAACACTCATTAGCGCTCATTAGTGTTCATTAGCACTCGTTAATGCTCATTAAGCCTAATTAGCACTCATTAGTGCTCATTAACGCTCATTAGCACTCATTAATGCTCATTAGCGCTCATTACAATTCATTAACATTCATTAACACTCATTAATGCTCATTAGTGCTCATTAACACTCATTAGCACCCATTAACTCTAATTAACACTCATTAGTGCTCATTAGCACTCATTAAGACTCATTAACATTCATTAGCGCTCATTAATGCTCATTAGCGCTGATTAACACTCATTAGCACTCATTAACACTCATTAGCACTCATTAACGCTCATTAACCCTATTTAGCACTCATTAATGCTCATTAGCACTCATTAACACTCATGAGCGCTCATTAACATTAATTAGCGCCCATTAGCACTCATCAATGCTCGTTAGCACTCATTAGTGCTCATTAACGCTCATTAACACTCATTAATGCTCATTAATGCTCATTAACGGTCATTAATGCTCATTGGCACTCGTTAGCGCTCATTAACATTAATAAGCACTCCGTAATGCTCATTAATGAGCGTTAGCACTCATTAACACTCATTAACACTCAGTAACGCTCATTAGCACTCATTAACGCTCATTAATGCTCATTAAAGCTCATTAACACTAATTAGCACTGATTAACACAAACTCAGCACTAACGAACCAAAAATCCTCCCCAAATTAGCCCCAATTAACGCTAATTAGCACAACATTCACGCTAATTAACACTCATTAACACTAATTAACACCAATTAACACCAAATGAACCAAAAGTTAACCCCAAGTTATCCAAATTAACGCTAATTAACGCTAATTAACACCAATTAACGCTGATTAGCAAAAATTCCACAGCAATGAACACACAATTAACCCAAATTAACCCCAATTAGCCCTAATTAGCCCTAATTAACACTAATTAGCCCAAAACTAGCACAAATTAATGCTGATTGACACTGACAGCAATTAACGTCAAATTAACACTAATTAACCCAAATTAACCCCAAATGAACTTTAATTAACCCAAATTAACACTAATTAATGCTAATTAACGCTAATTAATCCCAAATTAACCACAATTAACCCACAATTAACTCCAATTAACACTAATTAACATAAAATCAACGCCAACTCATCCAAAATCAACGCCAATTAATGTTAATTAACAGCAATTAACACGAAATCAGCCCCAATTCCCCCATTGAACGCAATTAACCCCAAT